GACAATTTTGTGAGCTTTTCCCAGATGAAACAGAAGAGGATGGTAGGCTCCATTGTAGTGCGCTGGCTTTCTAAAGGAAGTGCACTCATGAGATTTTGGAATTTGAGGGAGTGTTTTTTAAAATATCTGGAAGAAAACAATGAACTGCTCAGTGAATGCTTGCTACTCAAGAATGAAGATTGTCTATGGTATTTAGCTTTTCTCACTGATATTATGGACTTTTAAATAATTTAAATTTAAGATTACAGGAGAAAGATTGTATATTTCCTACCCTAGTTGGTCATATATCTTCTTTTGTGAACAAACTTTGTTTTTTTGTCTGGATTTTGGAGAAAAAAGATTAACACATTTCACATTAATGCAGGAACTAGCTACCAAGGTCAATAATGCTCCGAACTATGATAGATTTAAAAATTTAATATCCATTTTGCAGGATTCATTCAGTGCTAGGTTTGATGATTTTCAAAATGATAAAAAAAAAAGTGCTGATCTTTTCACAAATCATCAATTTCTCTGCAAGACATTGTTACCCACCTGAAATCCAAATCGAAATTATTGACCTACAGCACCCTACTACACTGAAAAGCAAATATAAGGAACTTATTTCAACTGCAAGTGATCCAAATTATATTGAATTTTGGAAATTTGTACCAACAAACAATTTTCCAAATTTATACAATTTGGCTGTCAGATATTGTAGGTTTTGATCAACATTTGTTCACAAACATATGTTTTCTATTATGAACATAATAAAATCAAAATAACATTCAAGATTAACTGATATATTAATTAATTTAATTGATATTAACTAATTTTGTTACCATCTTCAAGAACTAATACTAATATAGATGACTTGGTAAAAAACTAGAAATTCAAAAACCACATTAAGACTGACTGTTCAATAATTAGAATTAAATGTTTCAAGTTATTCATTTTTATTTTATATATAATCTAACTGACTGAACCTTTAAAAATGTTTATTATTAATAAAATTTAAGTTTGTACTTTTGTTATATTTATTATATTATTATTTTAAAATCTCCACTACTCAGACTTACATGAAAAAAAAACTGCTATTTCCATAATCAGCCTATAAATAAAATTTTTTCATTTTTTAAATAATTTTTAGTACAGTATGTTGGAAAAGTTGGAAGTGGCATGCATAATTTTTTTTTTCAGATAATGGCACTCTTCCCAAAGAGGTTGGCCACCCATCCTAAAGCAAATCTCATAATTATTGTTGCATCTGTAAGTTACTAATCCTTTTCTTTTGATCATCTATGCTATTCAAGTTCTTCACTATTAAAAATAATTCAAGCTATCCCATATTTTGCCATAGGCTTGCAATCATCCTAATAAGATGGAATGATTAATAGATGGCTAATTAATTAAAAATATGATATTTAATTGGTTCTTTTGTTTGGTATCTTTTTTATCCTACAAAAATTATACTTTGTTTAATAATAATTAGAAGAAATAAAATATTTTATTGGATTTTGTAACTGATGCAATTGTTACTTGAAATGAGTGCTGTATGTAGCTAGTACTTACACTCAGGTAACACACACAAGTCTAGACTAAGCTTTAATTATGCTAAGAATTTAATAGTTTGACTAGCTATGAAATATTTACAGAAATTATGTAGTTTTTCTGTAATAAAATGTCAAAGTGGCTGCTTATTCAAAGAAAAATCATGGAATCCGTCTATCAATTTGGGAATTGCAACTTTTGATGATAACAGACTGATAACTTTAGAGAATAAAGTTTCATTATTGAACTCAATGTATTACAATTGCACAGTATGCAAAAAATCTTGTGTTTTTAACACGGGCGGTTATTTACCTTGTTCAAATTTAAACACACCAAAACCCCAAGCTGAATTGTTCAAAATGAAACAATTATTTCGATAACACTTAAGATAAGGGGGTGAAAATTGAAGTGTCGTCACTACAGGGGTCATGCTGTATATTGCAAAATTTTATTCATCTGATGATTGAAATGGTGAATAGCCATAAAGCAGTTCAAAAAAACAATTCACTTGAAGTGTGTCACAGAACACAAATTGGTCTTGGTCCAATAAAAAGTTGCTTGATAAACTCAGTCAAAAACCCAGTGATTTTATATTGTCAGTAAACAAAGTAGTAATTTTATTTTAACTTCCAAAATTTTTAGAATGCATGCATAATATGCATATTAAGGGAACATCAGTGCCAAATTTCACCTTCACAGCTAAATTTTAAAGTGAAATTTCTGAAAATCAAAACAGCATACTCATGACAGTATATATGTCAAATTTGGTTGAGATTTGCCAATAGTTTTTTCTACAGAGCTCTGAATTCCTAATTTATGATCACTACATATGAATATAATTTTGATAGCTTACTTTCATATGCATGAAATACAGTTTAGAGGTATTGTATCTTCAGTAGCAGCTGATAATAGAAATCATATTTAGTCTAAATGATCGTTATACTTCTGATAAATATTTTCCAATTCCGCAAACAACCAACTAAAAGTTCTGTATTTTATTAAAATGAGTGATCAGAAAGACAGGATGGTCAGAAAAAGAGATTACATGATTATATGGATAATAAATCTACTGAACATTGTAAACTCATTTGCAGATTAAGGTAGGGTTATTAGTGTTTGCTAACATTTGGTTTAGTGAGAAAGATGAACTGTTCAGAAAATTGGTTATGCTTGGAGTGATATGTTTGTTTAAAAGGTATCACCACTAACACTAGGCTATTATGTCAAGGTAATTTATTGAAAGATGGTATTGTGTATTTGAGGAAAGTGTTGTATATTTTGCCTAATTACCTCATTTTAACTCCCTAAAATGAAAAAGTGACAAAATAATAAAAAGAATGTATAAAATGTAAATTCAAGTAAACATTGTAGAATATTATTGTAGATGTAGCTTTTATTGAATGACGTATGGAATGTATAAGATAGCATAGATATGCTATCATTATTATTGCAATTTCGTGTGATTGAAGGAGTTAATCAATTTGGCAAGTGAATAACGTAATAACATCAAATTCAGTATTCACGTAGTATTTTATTATAGAGAGACTTCATTATCATACATTTTTTATGAAATATTATACGTTTTTGAAAATTAACTGTTCTGTTACAATGGTAGTTGTTTTGTTTAAATTAGACCGTAGATAGTCTTCATCAGTTGTATTTGTGGTCCCATCATGTCAATTTATTCTTAAATTTTTATAAGAATCATATTTAATAGGAGGGATGAAAAACATTTTTAATTTCATCCATCTTGATATAACTTTTCTTTTTTCTAAAAACAATTGCCACCAAAATTAAAACAATCCTTCAATAATCCACAAGTATTCTTAGCTGCAGTTGGACTGTAACTAACTAATTTCTTTTACTTACTTTTTGTGATGAGATAACATTAATTAATTTACCATTATCCACAAGGCACTGGTCAATGCACACTGTGATTGCAATGCTGCAGTGTGCGCTGGCAGATTTGTGTTATAGTATGGAGTCAATTAGATTGGCTTCTGAAATAAAAGTTTTTTGATGTCCAATAAAATTTTGTTATTCAGTGGTATTAATCCTTATTATTAGGAAAACTTGTGAATATAAAAAGTTACGAGTATATAAAGTGCTTTGATACTAAAAGTTTTTAAAAATTTGAAATTGAGTTAATTGATTTGGCTTGTGAATTGCTCATATCTCAAATAGGGTTGGATGTAATGATGATTTTACTTGTTATTAGCATTTATAATTTTTTTTATAAAACTCGTCTCTAACCTAAAAATTAAGCTTTTTACTATTTTATTATTATAATGTTTTTAAAATAAAATAGTTTAACAGATGGCACCACACAATTTTAACTTTTTTGCCCAGAAAGTTATGCAACACTGAGTTTTTGTAACAGCTGCCTTCAGTTTGATTTATCATAGGTTAAAAAAAGAAAACAAATTGTGTTTAAAGACTGATGATGATGTAGAAATGAAAACTAGCATTTTATTCAGCAGAAATTAATATATCATACTATTAAATTTTAGCCAGGTATTCTTGATATAATGTAATCAAAACAAGTATAGAAAGATATCAAATTTTTGTAATCATAATTTACAAATATACAAGAAAGCAGGTTAAGAGAAAAAAAGATCAAAACAGACACTTAAGTATAGATGATTCAACTGCTATCTACGTATCTATCCAATGCCACTACTGGAAAAGGAGTGCAGAAAGATGTGGTCAGAGCCTTATACATCATTGTTGATATTTCCTAAAACAATTTTATTTGCAATCACTTGAAAGATAAAAGTACTGCAGTCATTTGAGATACATTGAATAGTATAGCAGCAGAAAGAGAGTGAATTATTACTATAAAACAATGTAATCTGTGGCAGATGATAGACAATAAAGGCATAAATTTGCCACTCTAGAGACCCAACTTTGAGTCCAAGTTGGAAAGTTTCACGAATGAAATGATCTTTATATGACTAGTCCCATCTCTCAATACCTAACCATCTGGACTGGATTTGGTCATATTCATGATGAACATGATTATAAGGCCTTTTAGAGCCTGAGGGTAGAAAGAGCATTTGAGGATTCTGGTGTTTTTTTTTTATTCAGTCATATGCTTTTGTGAAAAAGACTACTATCCCTATTTTACAAAAATTAACATGGAAAATTATTGCCCTTCTTAACTTTGACCAGTTAATCAGAGTTCCAGTTGGTTCTAACAAAGAATTACTGAGGATTAAATTATATTAACATCTATGAAAAATTGGTGGAACTGGGAAAATATGACTACTAACCAGGATGATCAGTTAGCAAGGTTCGAGAGTATTAATACTTTATCTATTTCATTCTAATGGTTGAAATAGATAATATAGTAAGTAAAACATTGTAAGATTAATTAATGTACATGAACTAAATTCTACATTTTATCCAATAAATTGTCAAAAATTTACTGAAGTTTTTATTACATATTTGAAAGAAAATCAAAAGTAAAACTAAAGATCTTTGGTAAAATAGACAAAAATACATAAATTTTCATTACTGAAATTACATTTTTTCAAACAATTAAAATCAACAATATGACTATTATTTGAATATTTCCAACTTATTAGAGTTGTAATTTTTGATGAGATCTCTTTAAAGTTCTAATTATCAATATCATCAAACATTGTTTAGTAGTAGTTGACAGGCCCCATTAGATGGAGTACATATATAGAATGATGGATTTCCTTTGTATTTTTTCTGAAATAAAAAATGTATCAATTTTAGTAATTAAAAAATAATTATATCCAAATAACACAAACATGTCTTTATAAATAGTAAAAAATCTATATAATGAGATTTCCTCCATTCAATAAAAGAATCTCATTACAGAAAATTTTGTTTTCATTGGCTAGAAATATAAGATTTAGCATGTTAAGAGATTGCATTATATAGAATATTTTTATCTGGAAATGAAAAAATTTTTTGTCTATATAATGGAAATATACAAATTGGATGTGTAGATTGAACAGAGCTCTGCATAAGTCAAAGTGTTTTGCCTATGATCAAAATTTAAAGCAATCATCAAACAACTAAATATGATTGTTTGCAAACATTAAAACTCAGGACCAAGGCTTCTTCATATCAGCCTTGCTTTTTCACACAGATGAGGGATAATAAAATTCCACGGGCTGAGTCAACCTTTTATTTGAGGCTTCTCATCCACCTCCAAATGTAAAATAATCCAACATTTCTCTCTAGTGGTGGCAGCACAATTAAAATGAATTACATTTTTTAAAATTAAGACAGGATGATTTAATTTACAATAAAGAAAATAACTTTCTCTAGTAGATTGTATAAAGACTCTCTAGTAGATAATACATACATACATGTGTCTTTATACAATCTACTAGAGAGTCTTTATACAATCTACTAGAGAAAGTTATTTTCTTTATTGTAAATTAAATCATCCTGTCTTAATTTTAAAAAATGTACTTCATTTTAAATGTGCTGCCACCACTAGAGGGAAATGTTGGACTATTTTACATTTGAAGGCAGATGAGAAGCCTCAAATAAAAGGTTGACTCCGGCCGTGGAATTGTCTTATCCCTCATCTGTGTGAGAAAGGACCAATTGTATAAAGACACATTATGTATGTATTGTCTACTAGAGAAAGTTATTTTCTTTATTGTAAATTAAATCATCCTGTCTTAATTTTAAAAAATGTACTTCATTTTAAATGTGCTGCCACCACTAGAGGGAAATGTTGGACTATTTTACATTTGAAGGCAGATGAGAAGCCTCAAATAAAAGGTTGACTCCGGCCGTGGAATTGTCTTATCCCTCATCTGTGTGAGAAAGGACCAATTGTATAAAGACACATTATGTATGTATTGTCTACTAGAGAAAGTTATTTTCTTTATTGTAAATTTCTCAATGTTTTTGTTGGTTATGACATTGGACATGCATGTCCTCCCTAGAACCTGTATTTTAAACTGCTTTAGACAGAACATTAGAAGCATGTCACCACATTTGTGTTTGTGGGTAAAGCCAAAACATAAAAACCTGTGTTATGGAGCTCAGTTTTATTCTCCTAGTAGTTTAATTAATGATGTATTTATTTGGATGATGTAGGGAAAGATGCAACAGATGATAGCAGGGCAGACTCGGTGGTTCCCATGCAATGGATTGAAAGTGATTTAATTTTCATCCAGAGGGGATACAAACTTTCTTTAGAAAATTCCCATAAGTAGAATAAGAAGGCAATCTTTTTGAAAACCAGGCAGGAAGGTATAAAAGAATAGAAGATTAATCAAACAGAGCTTTCATCTTTTGAATCTTTAGACTTTTGCCCTTTTGAAAACCTTGCATGTGATTATAAGGAAGTATTCTGGAAGATACTTTCAGTAGAAGATAGAAATAGAAGAAAGGATCTGGTCATTAATTTATGAATGGTTAAAGAGCCATTGAGCAATCTATGAACATTCTCTGCTTTTCTTTAAGTCTGTGAAATTTCATACTTATAAATCAGTGTAATGTACAGTATTTTGGAATGTTTTTGTATTATATATGCTGTATAATTTACAGTGAGATAAAAACAAAACAAAAAAAAAATACATGTCTAATGTTTGATGAAAAGACTGAAGTGCTGAATAGTTTAGACTTTATAGTTAATATAAAAATTATATGTGAAACGTATAGAATTGGTAAAACCTAGATGTGTACAATCTTTGGTCTAAAAAAAGTAAAAGCCATGCAAAATCAATGAAAACAAAGTATAATTAACAGGTCAAGAAAAAGAATGTGCTCCTAGCCATACAAAGATCTGAGAACAGAATATGGTAATGATTCTTGGCAATGAGAGCAGAAAACATTGTTGTCAGGGCATATTTTACAGAAAAAGCTCTGACAAATTTTAATGCTTCTACAAGATGACTAGAAAAAAATTCAGAAATAGAATTCTTTTTAAAAATTTATGTAGAAAAGGTAGAGATATCAATCCTGAAATTGTGACAACCTGGAAAGGAAAACTGGAGCAAACTGTTTCCAGATATGATTGTCATGATTTGTATGATTGCAATAAGACATTATCTTATAGAATGTTAGCAAGCAAGTCTTTTAATGAACTGTAAACAAGAAGTCTCATCCTACTTAATTTTTAAAAAAGGCACTTAGCTAAATTTCTCTGTACATTGATCCCATGTTACTCCATTGTCCTTGGTTGCTAAATCCACCATCACTTCAGCTATTGGTGTGTTACGAACAAGCAAATATAGCTTCTACAAATTGGACGCAGTATCCTTGTACCCTTCCGTGTCTTGGTTAATCTCTATTCCTCAAGGAGTGCTTTAGTGTTCAACAGATACTGGATATATGTGATGTGCTGATCTTCACTATGAAGCACAACTACTATTGTTTCAGTGGGAAAATTTATTTATGAAAATGGGGTCCACCACGAGTTCCTCTTTATCTGCTGTTCTAGTGAAACTGATTGCGATAGAAGTTGAGCACAGAACATTCAATTCCCCACTTGCCATCCACTACCCACTGTTGTACTTGCATTATGTTGACATTCTCATAGCATAGGACAATACAGGTCAATGACAGACCAGACATTTCTCACATTAGAACAACAAATGTCCAGTGTATACCCCTTTATTAACTTCACATGGAAAAAAGACGTAGGTGCTGTGCAGCAATGACATTCTTGGATCTGTGCATAAATAGATTTCCCAAAGGGATATTATTCTTGGTTTTCCATAAGTTTTATATAGTGCCTCATATCATCCCTCCTGCCACTTTCCATCCTTTGCAATATGTTGATGCCACCATCACTGTCCTCATTAGAAGAGTGTTCTTATTACCATCAACATAAGTGCTCATAAACATTGAGTTGAGCACTGTCAGTCTGGCAGTACACACAGCTGATTTTTCTTATGCTAAGTTCACATTTGTGCTTAATATGGTCAGGGATTCACTATTTCCACACACAACACTGCATAACAAGAAGGATGTGTCAATATTTCAACTGCCATTGCTGTACCTTTGGTTCTCTCTCCATACACATTTGCCATATATTCAGGCAACACAACTTTCTCCTGCCTCTATTTCCACTACCAAATTTACGCAGACTTATCTGCAACAATCAGGATAAACTCTCACCTTTTAAAAAATCAGGAGACTAAGCTGAGCCATTAGAATCCCATAATGTGAGTAATACGAGGTACAGTACAGTACATTGGGGCCACAACACAAATGCTTGCTAGTCGCCTAGCCAAGTATCAGAAAGACATGGTGAAAGAAAAGCCTACTAGAGAGCTCACAAAAACGGTGCTCCAGCAAAACTAAAACCCATTATGGACTTGAACAAAGCTACTCAGGCACTGCAGCAACTGAAAACTCATTTTCATATGGGAATCTCTCCTTACAACAACCTTGGAGCCATGTAACACACCCACACTTGACCTACAACTCACACTTGTGTGAGTTGCCGGCTAAATAGTGATATGTGTCTGCCATCACACCTATGATGTACACTCACCAGTGGCATAGCGTAGGTGTCAGCCGCTCAGGGCAGAGGAAAATTTCGCCCCCCTTATTTAGGTATCTCAATTTAAAAGACTAAAATTCAGTTTCATCACAGAATAAGTAATGAAAAATTTCGTTCTAGTGTTGCCACCTTATTAAAATCGCTGACCCGGACAGCAGGTGAGGTTTGTTCGAATAGAAGTTCCTGATTCATGCGTATGTCATTTTGCAATGCGAAGAATAATGTGCAGTGCATGCTGGTTCTAAATCAGTTACAGTTAGCGACTAGGGAGACTTGGATAGGAGTAACGCAAGTGACCTAGCTCTATTGGATATTGGAGGTATATATATATACGAATAAATTGTAGAAGCAAAAAAAAAAAGGTCAACAGGTTGCGCACGATATCCCCGGACGGTGAGTCGATTCCCGGACTATACGGATGGATGGTAACACTATTCTGTGCTCATTTCAATCGGTCCGAGTCGTGGGTGTATGAAAATATGAAATAAAATGGTTCAATTTCTTACAAGATATTATTATTATTTATTGTGAAATTTTTCCGCCCCCTAAAAAGTGCCACCCAGGGTGGGCCGCCCCTGCTACCCCACTACGCTACTGACACTCATCCATGCATTGCATGATGTTTCAAATTCTTGCATAATTGAACTTTGATCACACACAACTTCTAATTTTGATTTAAATGATATTTATTCTATTTACATTAGAATATTGTGTTCTACACTTGTTTGCCTGAAGATGATGAATATGTTTGTTGAAAATGCTAGCAAAAATAAAAAAAACTGTTAATTCCAAACTCATTGTTTTTACTTTATTTTGTGATATTTGGCATGAGGTTTCAAGCTGTATTGTGTTTGGAAGAAAAAATGTTCAAAAAAACACTGACACTTTTCCTATGTTGTTATTTGAATTGCAAATCTGAAAAACCATTAGTCATAGGAAGATCAAAATCATCCAGGTGTTTTAGCAAAAGTAATAAAAAGAAGCTGCTAGTGGTATAGGAATTGAATGACAATGTCTGGATGACAGCTGCAATAATGGAGAACTGACTATATAATTTCAAAAGGAAAATAGTTGTGTTCTTTTATTTCTGTACAATACTACAAGCCATCTCCATATCACATTTATGAACATTAAATTGGTATTTTTTTCCAAGTAACATTATTTTAATTTTGCAGTCCTTAGAACAAGGGATCATACACATTGTTAAACTTTATTATTGTGAGTTGATGATTCAGGTGTTACTTGTTGACTGTGACACCTGGAATAACACTCAGGAGGCATCTAAAATGTTTTAAGTGTATTGGATGCCATTGAAAACTTGATAGCATTATCAGTGTTCTCTCTAGGTCCTTTTGACTGGGCATTCCATCTGCCATCCTTTTGACACTCTTTTACCTATCCAAAATAGGAGTATCTTAGAATTGATGGCATCTTACATTTGCTATCCAAAGTAACAAACAGTCATTGCAAGTAGATCACAGAGTGTATTAGAAACTAATAATATATGTTTATGTGTCTACTAAACAACAGTCACATTACTTCAAATGAGTCTTACCAGTAACAATCATTTAATTTAAACTCCTTGTTAATGTTTGAAATGCCTTCAAGATACAGCATTAAAATAAATAGTTATTGTATATGCCCACCATGGGCAAATGTGGCTCTTTTTGAGTTACATGTGGATCTTGCTGAAAGTGTTAATTTCTGCTTATTATTATTATTTTTACAATTTTATTTTCACAATTTTGTGAAAATATGTTTATTAAAAAAATTCAATGTTTAGTTTTATATAATATTTATATTATATAATAAAATTGCAATACAGAACTGCAATACAGAATAAAAAAGTACAGAACTGCGGCTACCATGCATTTTGCAAAACCTACATTTCGGCTCCCACTGAACTCTTGCTTGCGCACCCCAGGTATATGCAGAAGAGCATGAAAATAAAGCTGGCAAACATTACCTGTTTTATTGCATTTGTATTATTTTTCTAGCTTCTTACTTAACAAAACTTAATAAAGTTGGTTATTTTTAAAATTTTCATTCCATAAAAAAATTCTAAACTTTGATTCAAACTCATGGTGCATCTTAGAATCAATGGGGTTTAGAATCAAGAATATACAGTAATTAAATACTGTAAAAATTATATTATCAAAATTTTTGATATTTTACAATCTCACAAAAAAATTAATAAAATTTCATTTCGATTATTTATCTTAGAAAAAAATTAAATATTTTAATTATATTGCATGAAGGAAAACAGATCCAGGTAATTAATAATAGACATTTAATAAATAACCTATTGTATTTTATTTTGTTGAATTTGAAAATTTTTTGGATTATAATTTGACTCTAATGAAATGTAATATAGTTTGCAATTTTATTGATCTATAAAACTGTAAACTATATTACATTTCATTAGAGATCAATTTTATAGACTATAAAATCTTCTTCTTTGTCCTGGCCTATATCCCAGATTATTTGGGGTCAGCCCAGAATGTCACTTTACGCCACGTTGGTCTATCTCTAATTGTTTCTTCATCCACTCCACAGTCCAGCATACTGTATCTGTTTTTACACATTCAATCCACCTCTTCTTAGGTCTTCCTCTACCTCTATCTCCCTGTACTTTCATATTTAGTGCCTTTTTTGTTACATGTTCCTCATTCCTTCTCACCACATGTCCAACCCATGTCAGTCTGTAGCTTTTTATTTTTTCTGAGATAGATACTACCTTTAATCCCGCCATTTCTTTCTTGATTCGTTCACGGTTACACGATAATACATTTATCCCCCTATAATTATTACATTCCTGCACATCCCCTTTTTCTTTAAAGATGGGTACTAAATAGCTTCTTCTCCATTCATTGGGTATAGTTCCCTCTAACAGTACTTTGTTAAACAGCTCTGTTAACCAGTCTCTTCCCTTCTCTCATAGAACTTTCCACACTTCTATCGGTATCTGATCCGGGCCCACTGATTTCCAATTTTTCATTTTATTCAATGCCAGTTGTACTTCCCATTTCTCTATTATGCCTACTAGGCCAATATTTGGCTCTACATTTTCAATTTTAGTTTGTCTGTCATTCTCCTTGTTCATAAGGTCTTTAAAGTATGTTTTCCACTGGGCCTTAATTTCTTCATTTTTAGTTAGCACTTTGCCATTTGTGTTCTTTATACACTTGATATAGGTCATATCTTTACTCCCTCTGCCTCTCATTTTCGCAAGTCTATATATGGCTTTTCTACCTACTTTTCCCGTGAGTGACCTATACATTTCGTCCTGGGCTTGAGCCTTAGCTATGGTGACCTCTGTCTTCGCCTTTTTTTCATCTGCACATAGACCTCTCTTTTCTCTTCCCTTACCTTATTATCTCCTTTCTCATTCTGCCAACTTTTAAAAGCATCTTTCTTCTCTCTTATAGCTTTCTTTACTTCTTCATTCCACCACCATATCTCCTCCTCTATTTTCCTAACTGACTTTGTTTCTCCCAGAAGTTATTTTGCAATCCTTTGTATTTCCCTGGCCACCTGTATCCACCATTCATCTGCCAAGTCATTGCACTTCGCGTTACCATTAATAACTCTTATTACTTTTTCTTTAAACTCTGTTGCCCTTTCCCCTTTTAACAACCACCATTTAATTTTAGGTATCAGTTTATCTTTATACTTAATCCTATTAAGATCAATCCTTAATTCCATTACTAAGAATCTATGCTGACTAGTCAAGTCTTCTGCTGGTATCACTTTACAGTCCTTAATCCCTTTTAGAGTAGTCCGTCTTGTTAATAGGTAGTCTATTTGTGATTTATGATCCCCGCCCTTATAAGTTATTAAATGTTCTTCACATTTATCAAAATAAGTGTTGACCACGACTAAATCATAGGTGGTGGCCATTTGCAAAACACACTCTCCTTCAAAATTTCTATCACCAAATCCTTTGCCTCCATGTACTCTCTCATAACCCAGCATTATTTTTTCCCACATGCCAGTTAAAGTCCGCTCCAATAAATATCTCCTCATCTGTCGGTACCTCTGTCATTATCTTAGCCAAATCTTCCCAAAATTGCTCTTTAACTCCAGCATCTACACCCAGTGCCGGCTCGAGGCAAGTTTTAGGATGGAGCGAGATCCTATTATGGCGCCCTGGGGTGGAACCCCGCTCACGCACTCGACCCACATGCGTCTTAACAGATAAGGCCATTCACATACTGGCCACACGCTTGCAATTAAAATACCGAAAAATGAAAAAAATATTTTTTTCCTTTAATTTTCTTTACCACTGAGCGCCCCCTATGACTTAGCGCCTGGAATGGCTGCTCCATTTGCCCTATGGTAGGGCCGGCTCTGTCTACACCCACTTGTGGCGCATATGCACTGATTACATTAACTATCAGTTCTCCAATACTCAGTTTCACCAATATTAATCTATCATTTACTCTATTGACTATGACTACATTCTTCTTTAAGTCGTTGTCTATGACTATTCCCACCCATTCCTCTTTCCATCTTTACCACAGTAGAAAAGTTTATACCCTTCACCAATCTCTTTAGTTTTGGCCAATCTCTTTATAGACTATAAAATAAGATTCAAAATTATAATTTACATAAACATATAGACTAACAGAGAATCATGGACAGAGAGATCTTTTTCAGGTGTCCTCCAAGAAAATAAAAAAATAATAATAATTTTAAAACTATATGTTAAATTACACCAGCAAGTATTATTTAATGCACAAAAATGTTTATGACCAAATTTATGGATCTTCTTCATTTGCAGAACATACAATGGTAACCAAACATACCAAATTTAAATTAAATAGAACAAGTACAAAATTTACATTTATGAATAAAAATATAAATGACATAAAATAAAAATAAAATAAATAACATAAGACAAATAAAGGTTACACAAACATTAAATAAATAATGTTTATGTAACCTTTATTTGTCTTATGTTATTTATTTTATTTTATTTATGACATTTATGTTTTTATTTATAAATTTAACTTTGTACTTGTTCTATTTCTTTTAAATTTTGTATGACTGATTACCATTGTATGTTTTATAACTGATGAAGATCCGTAAATTGATAGAACAAAAAAAAAAAAAAAAACAACTTTAAAAATATAAATAATCAAATAATTTGAATCATATTATATATATATGTGCAAGTATATTTGTATATTTGATATATAAATTGGATCCAAAATGTTTTTTTAGTGCATTAAATAATACTTGCTTTAGTAATTTAAGGAGTATGGTTTTATGTCTGTGTTCCTCCTCCAATTCCTCTGTGATTTCATTAATAATAATAATAATAATTTTATTTATTAATTTAAGAATTTAATAATTTATTGTAATTTAATAATAATTTTCAATTTCATTTCATTCTTGAAAGATATATTTTTATGATATAATATTTATAAAATATTTGCACAAGATTAATCTTTTATTTTTATTAAAAATTACAATATTGTTTGTTTAATTAAATGCTAATATCTATTAAATTTATTAAAATATCATTCATTTTATGAAATATTAAGGAGATAAAATTAAGATTCTTATAACTAGATTTACATTATTTTAATAGGTTACTACTAATTTATATCCTATTTATATATTTATATCACAAATATTTTATATATACCTACCTTAATATTTTCTATAAGTGATTTAAGTGCATTAGATTTGACTAGAGTTACAGTACAACCTCCAAAACCACCTCCAGTCATTCTAGAGCCATAAACACCTTCCACCTCAAGAGCTAAATTGACTAATTCATCAATTTCTTCACATGAAACTTCAAAATCATCTCTATTGAATATAAAAGCGTATAGAGTAATTTAATATCAAGAAGTCTTTCTTATCATATACTTTTGAAAATTGAACAAATTCTAAATTTTAATGAATTATCTAATAAAATTGAATAAAATATTTTTTAAATGTGAAAACAAATCATTATAACAAAGAATCAACTTTTCCTGTGTAATTAAATATTTACATAATGCTTAGATAATAAACATTTAATTTAATTCAAAATATCTGGTTTAATTAGTTTTTTTTAAATAATTGATTAATAATTGAATAATTCTAATATTATATTTATTTTATTAAATTTTTATATCTTACTTGTTAAATAGATATAAAAATATATACTATAAGCTGTAAATTGTTATTTACTTGAGTAATGATTTACAATTTATACAACAAACTATTTCAGTAACTTGTTGAAGTATTAATTTGTTTGTACACTTTTTAACATGCTAAATTTCTCCAGAAAGTACAAATATGTTCTGTTCCTATGCAATTTGGCAATTAGTTCTTAGATTATTCATTTTACTGTAACAAAAATCTATATATAATTGATGATTCATTGATTTTCATTTTATCACAGCTCTTTTCTTGAGTAGTCATCATATGTTTTGAAATTGATACAAATTTCAGTTTATTCTAAAAGCTATTGTATCATTTGAGTTAATTATTATTCAAACATAGTCCCAGATATTTTTGACTATTTTGAACATATCCTTAATAAAAAAAAAAAATTTTTTCAGGACTATATTTTCATTCAATCAAACTATAGCTTACAAAAGATCAGTTGTGTATATTTAATTTGACTAGTAAAGAATTATGTAATAAAATATAATGTTCTTTTGTAGACTTTAAAAAATTTTTCAATATTGTTTAAAATATATATGATATGAATAAAACTATTTTCAGGAATATAGTTGAATCTCAAATTACTATTGAGCATACACAAATAGGATAAAAATGTCCAAATAATAGTTTAAATAGTTATAAAATTTATCATATCATGAAAGGTTATTGCCCTAATTCCCAATCATGAACAATTATTTTTTCATGTCTAGATTTTTATTTCTTTGGATGAACATCTTTGATTTTGATGATTTATTAATGGTAACCTTGGTATAAAAGCCACTATTTATTAATGTTTATATGTTAAGTTTGCATTGTGATATTATTAAATGTTAAACATTTAATAATTAATCATTTATTGAATTTTTACTTACTTTAATGATTTGTGACTCTCTATCATCAATTTACCAAAAAGATTATAATCTCCCCGATTTAATGCATCAGCTGCAGATACTGTGCGATTGGTTTCTGTTATAACATGCTTCACACGTTTATGTATCTTATCTTTATAATCTAAATTTTTTAACTTGTAATCTTAGGAACATAATCGGAAATTTCATTTTTCTTATTAAACCTTGATAAAATTACTCTTATGTTCAGCTACTTAAAGTTGTCTATCGGAACCGATAATCTACAAAAGATGAATGATGATAAGGATCCATAAACAATGGCTATTAAATTATCGAGTTAATGATTTCAAAATTAACTAATGGTAATTCTGACACATTCGATTACACGAAAAACACTTCACTAAATTCGCTATAAATGCATTCTTCTAAAAAAATCCACATTGAATTAAATTAGTTCGCGTTGCATTTAATTTAAATGTTTAAAAATTTAAATTAAAACGTAATATTTAATCGATTTTGATGGTTTTCTTTAAAAAATTTCAAGTGTTCTCCTAAAAAAATTTCTTAATGCGTTTAACAAGTCGCTTTATCGATTTAAGTGCATTCGATAAATACGTTTAGTTTAAAATTTAGTAAATTTAGTTGAAATTTTATAAATATTCTTTCATAAATTAGCTATTAAACGTTTCAAAAAATAAATTTTTAAAATGTTTTACTTTTGATTTCTGTAAAATATTTATAGAAATTCTACTGAGTTAACAAGTCGCTTTATCGATTTAAGTGTAAACGGTTAAATTCGTAAAAGTTAAGTAAGTTTAATTGGAATTTTATAAATGTTCTTCATAAATTAGCTGTAAAACGTTTAAAACATATGTATACAGTGAATTCTCGATATAGTGAACTCTGGATAAGGACTGAACTATTGTTCTTAGCAAGGACCGACAAAACTGTTTATATTTTTAGTTGTTTTTTCCTATATTATGTGAAGAATATTTTTATAAATAGGATGTTTTTAGATTAAAAATTTATGTTTTCGAAACCCTTGTTAATATTTAGAATGGATCGTTTCAATTTAGAATAATTCAATATTTTTTTATTATTTTTTAAAAATTAGCTTATATAAAGTATTCCAAGAGTTAAACTTTGCTTGTTTCTGTAAAGAGATGAGCAAGCGTGTCTCTGGAATTTCAAATTCCATTACATTCAATAGGAATGTTAAATTCTTGCGAAATACCTTCAATCTATTCAAATGTAGCAACCGCATATAACAAATGATTTTCACTATAAGAATGTTAGCTATGATAGCCAAACCCACACACTAATTACCCAAATTACAAAGATTTTCTGTAACAAAACAATTAGCTGCTACTGTAAGCAACTCGTGATTATTTTCCTGTTTCTTAACCCCCTACTTAGAAAATTAAATTGTGAAATAAATTTAGAAACCACAAACTTTACAAAATATACAAAAAGATTTTTCCAAAAGTTTATTTTAATTTTTAAAAAATTTTATCATTCGATTTTTCTGAAATTTTCTAAATTAATGATTCAGAGATCCTTCTTAAGTGTCTTTAAAGTTATTAAAATTAGTCGTGAATAAAAATAAGTTTAATTTAATAAATAAAACTTATCATCATTGCTTTAAGTAAATAATCAATCAACAAGAACTTTATTTGAACTTTTTACATGCATATATCTTCAAATTTTCAATAAAAGTAAGCTTTAAACTAATTTTTAAAGCTAATTTAAACAAAAAAAAAAAGAATTTCGAAAATGCAAAGAGAAGTCTTTCAATATTCAAATTTCGCTTGAGATACTGTAAATATTTTGAAAGATATGTGAATTAACCGTTTTCGAGTATAATTTACTACAACAATTTTAATAAATTAACTTATTTGAATCGTGATGAATTATAGTTCTTAATTATTTTTTAATATACATACAACTGATGAGAAATAAACATAATTGTAATCAAATAGTTTGCCACAAGTATCCTTCAAAAGCAGAATATCAAAAATCTGTGTAGAGCAATTTTTTTCTTTAAAATTTGACGTTAACTTTTATAATATATCTGGATAAGTCTGAGGAGTATTTAATTGGCACGCTTTCGTACGCAGTTGGAACATGGATGCCAACTGTGAAGAGTAAAGCGCTATCAAACCACCCACTGTATAAGTTTTAATCGTATTTTCTGACACTGCTGACACATAACAGTAAAATATTTATCGAAAATAAACAATTTATATTTCTCTACATCCATTATTTCTTCTGATTAACGAATTTTTCTTTGAGAATATTTCTCAATTACGTGCATAAAAATACAAAAAGTTCAGATATTGACTTTTCATTAAATTAGATAGCATTCGTTGTTGTAGAATTTGGGAAATATAAAGTAGATCGAATAAACATTCATAAGATCCAGAAAATGTATTGTAGACCATTAAAGAATTTGATTTCATGAATTAAGTATAATACTTAACGATAGTGAAAATGACTACTGAAAGCCATCTCACAATTGGAACAATGGATAGTAACGAGTGAATTGAAAGATATCCGATACTGTTCCATTCAAAGTATAGATGTAGTCTTTCCTATCATTAACTCTTGAATTTATGAAGAAAGTTTTCTTCGAGAGTTTTCATTCATCTTTTGAGTCTTCTATGTATTTCGTTTAATGCTGCTTACATTTCAAAGCGGCAATATGTCATTAGCGAAACATTATATCTCATATTGATATATAGCTATCTCATATTGATCTCATATTGATATAGGCTATACATTTAAGTAAACAGTTTATCAATGAATGATTTAGAATATTGAATAAATCAATACATAATTTATGATTATCATATCCATGAATTACCTCTACCATTTTCCATTGGTAGAGATAATTTTCCGCATGATTGGATCTAAATTGAGAAAATATAAATTAACCAAAATACCATAGATATCAAATTTTGGATATTTATATAAAATTATAAATATAGTTTTACAAATAATCAATAAATTTGCAATAAATATAACTATAACGACAATTATTTATTGTGACATCGTCACGGTGCTGAACTGCAATTTTTAATCATATTTGTAACTTATTTAATTTAAAATATATGCTCTCCACCTCAAATTAGTAGTGTTTTGTCCCTGTACAGCAGTGTTCCGCAACCGGTGTGCCGTCACAAAGTGTAAGGTGTGATGTGAACTTTTACATATTCTATTAATTTCAAGCTTTATTTATATATTTTTATCACAGTTGCTGTGCTTCTTATGCTTGTATTTCAAGTGTTATATCATAAGTGCGGCAGCACTTATGAAATAAGATGATGATCGTTTATTCTTTATTACAAGCCACGCATTTTTATGTATTTTAAGAAATTAAATATAGTAGAGCGTCGTTTATCCGAATCAGTTGGGGACTGGGGTTGTTCGGATAACTTATTTTTCGGATAACCGACTATGTACGAAAAAATATATTAACCTATCCCGTGTTGAAATTTTTCTCCGTTGCGTGTCGCTTTGCGTTGAATTTCCGTCGATGTTAAGCCTAACATAAACTTTTTAAAATAATAATCGTGGCTATTGTATCGTTAAAAATTATTTCTTTATTTTGTACAAACAAAATAAATATATTTAAAAATATGAAAACAATAAAAAAATATACTTCAGAAGTTAATTTAGTATCTAAAACGTAAAATATTTGAGTAGCCCAAGACATAGCCAAAGATTGCAGCG